CCATGTCTGACACCATTTTTAGGAGTGCCTGGGTCCTTGCATGACGCTTGAGACATACAAGAGAAATAGAGAAAATGAAAAGCCAGTTATTCTAAAGTCAGCCTGGTCAACAGTATTTTTATTGGTGAGGAATAGTTAACTGATTGTATGCTTAGCATTATCGAATCTCTCAAATCTACGGCGTTGGACAATTAATTAACCCCCTTCCAAATAGAAGTTTGAAAGACTGCTTAAACACACGGAATAGAAAAAAGACGATAACATAATAGTTTATCTCTCTGATAATTGCTAGAAGGCTCTAAAAGTAATGGAAACTTGAACTTTGCCTTACAGGAGAATCATACTTCTCCTTTTGAACAATAGTAGTTACTAGTGAAGGTGTAGTCTGAACAATAGTAGTTACAGCGTACTTTCTCAGCACGTTCGTGACGCGATCGCAAAAATGCGGATCGATTTTATGCGCGAAACTCAGAAAACTCAGAAAGTACGTTCGTGACGCCATCGCAAAAATGCGGATCGATTTTATGCGTGAAACTAAAAAAAACTCAGAAATAGTGATAAAATTCATTTTCATCGTTTACCTTTGCAGACAGGGATAATAGAGCTCCATTTTCCGTCGTGACACGTCATAGACTGAATTCCCAGCCGGGTGAAATCCTTTAAACACACGAATGTCACCTGGCCACCGTGACCAAAATTAGAACCGATCCTTCTGGCATGGCTCGGTATACCAGGATCAAGACAGGATGCTGCAATTGACATTTACGGCAAAAATTCTTAGAATACATTCACTCTAAAACGCTGGAAAACGCTTTTGCCCTTCACTTAAACGGCGTAAATTTTTTTAAATCAATCTCTCTAGGGAAGAAAGTTGATATCGTTTCCGTATAAAGCTAAACGGCGAAAACGATAATTGAATCACAATTCCCCCACTCTTCGCCTTTGTGTTGTAGTTCCGTGTGAAATGAAATTCGGTTGCTAGATTTTATGGCGTGCATTGCTGTTAGACTAAGTCTCGCTATCTTCATACAGAGAAAAGCAGAGCAGAATTCACAGAAAAGAAACATTTTTTTGATCAGGCGGCAAGGGGAACAACCCTTGGTCTCTTAAGTACCGTCATTCCTGCTGTATTTTTGCTGCTTACCTTTACACGTTGGCTTTGTTGTATTCCAGTGTCCTGCTATGCAGAACGAGGTAGGTGAGCCCACCAAGTTAAAGGTTGGATTGCATCTGTAAGCCACCATTTGACCATCTCCAAAGTTTTCTCCGATTCTGGTTCCATTGTCTGGCATTCCAGGATCTCTACAAACAGCTTCAAAAGAGAGTCGGTACGTTACCCTAGCAGGAGCATGTCGCAACTGCACTTCCACGTATTTAAGATGTCGCCGTAACGCAAAATTGATTTCCATGAACTGCTGTTATGTCTGATGCTATTTAACTAAGGACATCCCCAGCTAACTACCGGTATACGATCACCTACTGGTTGGAATATCCACGTTATTATCACGACCGCCTGACAGTGATGGCATTTTTATTAAGATTCTAAAGATATCTATTGGCTCTCCCTTGTAGCCGCGACACATTTATGTAGCAGTTGAGTTGTGAGTTTGGCTCAGTGGTCAACATTTCCGTGTATTTTCATCGTCATTTGCTATGAAATGAAATGAAATTTGCTATGAAATGAAAAGCCAGTTTTTCTAAAGTCAACCTGGTCAACAGTATTTTTATTGGTGAGGAATAGTTAACTGATTGTATGCTTTGCATTATCGAATCTCCCAAATCTACGGCGTTGGACAATTAATTAACCCCATTCCATATAGAAGTTTCAAAGACTGCTTCAACACACATAATAGAAAAATTACGATAACATTATCGTTTATCTCTCTGATAATTGCTAGAAGGCTCTAAAAGTAATGGAAACTTGAACTTTGCCTTACAGGAGAATCATACTTCCCCTTTTAAACAATAGTAGTTACAGCGTACTTTCTCAGCACGTTCGTGACGCCATCGCAAAAATGCGGATCGATTTTATGCGTGAAACTCAGAAAATTCAGAAAGTTTCAATCGATGCCCTCCATTTGCTGAGGTACGAGTCCCGGTACGAAATGAGAGTGAGGAAAATAATCAACCACACGTCGAAATATTATCTATTCCGTTTATATCATCTTTGGTTACAATGAATATATGAAGTTCATATATTTTGAACTGCGATATTAAATACGTGTGATGCACGATCCTTCGCAGTAGATAGCGCTATTTATGCAATAGCGAAATTCAGACCTGGAAAAATTCAGGCCTGTACGGGATTCGAACCACTGACCTCTGCGATACTATACNTATGACAAACAGATGTTGCGCTTCCCACCAACATGAAACCTTCCAAGCAGGCGTAGTTTACCTGTTTACCATGACCAAAATCACTCCCATTTCGATTTCCGTTTGATGGGTGTCCGGGGTCTTTACAGTCGACTAGAACGATAGAAAATGCGCTATAAACCTAATTTACCAAGGGAACTGTCATTATTATCGACTGGGGGAGAGGGGGGGGGGGAAAGGATTTTGGTTGTGTCACGATAAAACTAACCTGATCTCCCTATGAAGCTATGTGATATTCTTATGATCATTCACATTGATAACTAATTGGCAATAACTGGAAATTAAACCTCTAAATCATTTGACTTGAAGATAAAATGCCGTTAAAAGAAGATCTTTCAATGATACCTGGTGCAGAGCATCCAGACAGCTCCAATCTTAGGCAGCAGGGTTTAGGATCGGTGCCACCCAACACTATTGGATCCTTGGGATAGATTCTAATCAACTGTGTTCTGATTGGAGGATCTAAGGTGTTCGACTTTAAGCCATTGATATTGTTGTTGCCTTCAAATTCCTGAAAAGTTGACAGAAATTAAACTTATTAACTAGCTTATGTGCATCATGCCAATTAAGGTAACTTCGTAAAATTACATTTCGCCTCCATCGCCTATGAATTCATGCGTAATTGGCGAGCACACATTGTCGGCTTGTCCTCTGTGGCTAAAGCTTTGGATCTCTCTCACGTTCGTGGCAAATAAACTTAAAATTTTCCTACCTCGAAGAATCGCAGTTTGGAAGTATTTTTAGCTGAAATGTAATACTCAATCATTTTCCAAAAACGTACTTCGTGACTTCCATAATTCTCCTGGAAATAACACTTCGAACGATTGATGAAAGTAGCAATCCATAGTTAAAATAGAAGAAACAAAATGAAACAGCTAGCAATGCAGGTACCTTATCATATTCTTTCCAAGTTCCTTTATCCAGATACTTCACTTCATATTTTTTCACCCACGCAAAATCAGATTTACTTCCTTGAGTTGTTATGCCAGTGATTGACTTTGGTTCGACGAATGTGATTTGTATGTATGGCAACTTGTCCTTTGGGGCAGAGCACCAGGCCTTTGCTCCGTCCAAACGTGCAAAATGAGGGGAGTTAACTGAACTTTTTGAAGATGATGCTGTAATCCTCCCGTCTGGTATTCGTTTACTTTGCATTCCAAGGTCACCGCTACAGCTCTCTGCAAAAGTTTAGCAAATAAAAACATGTGGATCAATTCTGGGATATTGTGGGTTTTAACCGGGGAACATTCGCCTCTTACACGTTTCTTATCATAACCGTTATCGGTCAGGATTTCTTTGGGCACGCACAGTTGTCGTAAGAGAAATCAAAAACAGAGGTGGTGCAACAACAAAGTGTAGTATGGGAGATAGAAAAGTGATAAATTGGGCCATTAAGTTTTCACCTTTGGTTGAAAGTGGATGAAAATCCTAACATCCCTCAAAAAGGAAGATTCCTGTTTTTAAAATCAAGACATGAAATGAACTTTTGCGTGTCTTTCGATTTTCGACGGATTGGATTATCCATGGGCTGAAATATCCGCAATACATTCACAGTTCAGCTCATTACTGCAACGCTAAAACGGAACTCTTTTATAATTTGATTTTTCATGCGATGTGATGCTAATTCAGCCGTTAAAAGTTTTGGGAAGCCCAGAAATCCTTTTTCTGGGCGTACCCTTCTAACCTGAGGATACCCTGTACACAAGAAACTTTTTCCATAAGGGAGCGAGTGCGCCTGAGAGCTGAAACTGAGTTGGAAAAAGAAATCCTTTAACTTTAAAAATTTTTCCCTTTAGATGCAACTTCAGTGATTGTTAATGGAGTTTCATTAGTTTGGTAACTTTCCATTCTTTCCATTCTTTCCCTCTTTCATTCATTCATCTGTAAATACGATAGACCTGGTAAGTAGTTTAAATTCCCCCGATAAGCCCGAAGAGCCTTGCCAGAAACAGTTTTTGTTGTTTTGTAACGTTCGGGACTCACTTGCCCGTCAGTAAGGAGCGCCGAAAGTTGGAAGGAACGCAAATAATTCCTGATTTTGACGGTTCGGTGGA